GCCCGGGTGAGAAGGAGGCCCGGGGGTCAGAGACTCAGAGTGAGAGACAGTGAGACCTGCAGGGCCAGGACGGGAGAAGGAACAGGCGTGGGAGGAACCAGCCCTCTGAGTCCCGGCTCCTCTTTCCTACAGGCGTGTCTAGGAAGCCCTCCCTCCTGACCCTGCAGGGCCCTGTCGTGGCCCCTGGAGAGACCCTGACCCTGCAGTGTGGCTCTGATGCCAGCTACGACAGATTTTCTCTGTACAAGGAGGGGGAACGTGACCTCCTCCAGTGCCCTGGCCAGCAGTCCCAGGCTGGGCTCTCCCAGGCCAACTTCACCCTGAGCCCTGTGAGCCGCTATGACGGGGGCCAGTACAGATGCTACGGTGCACACAACCTCTCCTCCGAGTGGTCGGCCCCCAGCGATCCCCTGGACATCCTGATCTCAGGTGAGGAGCCCAGCGAGTTCAGTCAGGGACCCAGGCTCTGCATAGGCCCTGCTGGGGGAGCCCAGGTGGTGATGGCCGGGATGAGGGACAGGGGTCCCAAGGGAGGGAGAGACAGAGACAGGGATGGGTGGCAAAGTGGGGACTCAGAGAAAACAGAGACAGAGAAACTAAGTGTCCTAGGGAGAGGCTTGGGGAGGTCTCAGCTCAGAGCAAGATGGGGCAGCCCCTCACCCATCGTTCTTCTCTCCAGGACAGTTCTATGACACGGTCTCCCTCTCGGTGCAGCCGGGCCCCACGGTGGCCTCAGGAGAGAACGTGACCCTGCTGTGTCAGTCATGGCGGCAGTTCCACACTTTCCTTCTGACCAAGGAGGGGGCAGCCCATCCCCCGCTACGTCTGAGATCAAAGTACCGAGCTCACCAGCACCAGGCTGAATTCCCCATGAGTCTTGTGACCTCAGCCCACACGGGGACCTACAGGTGCTACGGCTCACTCAGCTCCAACCCCTATCTGCTGTCTGTCCCCAGTGACCCCCTGGAGCTCGTGGTCTCAGGTGAGGGCCCTGATCCTGTCCCCTCTGAGCTCAAAGGCTCAGCCCAGGCCCAGGCCCCCGGAGATCTCAGCTGGGATGGAGTGAGGGAGGCTTAGCCAGAGGGGACGCAGCCCTCAGAGGGGAGAGGCCAGCAGGGGTTCTCCTAGGCATGGCCACCCGTTCTCCTTGCCTGGCATGCAGAAGGTACCAGGTGGGCAGAGGAATGGTTCCGGGGAATCCACTGGGCGGATGCAGGAGAGGGGGAGTGGAAGGCTGCACTCCATGGACGGCCCCAGCCCCTCACCCGCCTCCTGTGCTCCTTCCAGGACCCTCTGGAGACTCCAGCCCCCCACCCACAGGGCCACGCTCCACCCCTGGTGAGTCACTGAGGCCTCTTGGGGAGCGCGGCCTCCCCCAGGGCAGTCTGAGTCTCCCAAA